GATTTCAGCATTGGAATTCGCGAATAAAACTCCCAAGATCTTTATCCGCTCGTTCGGGATTTCAGTATTGGAATTCACGAGTATTTCCTTAATTTATTCGCTCCGGATTTCAGCATTGGAATTCGCGAATAAAACTCCCAAGATCTTATTCGCTCGTTCGGGATTTCAGTCTTGGAATTCACGAGTATTCCCTTCATTATTCGCTCCAGATTTCAGCATTGGAATTCGCGATAATTAGGGACTCGTCTTCATTTCACGCACTCAACAATTATAAGTTTTACTATTCGATTAAATTCACCCCCTTCTTTTTTTTTTCTCCTTCAATTGACGACTTTGAAACGATTTTAAGTATTGAAAAGGACGAATGACACTTTTTAGTTCCTTTAGAATTGCAAGAATTTACTAGCGATAACCAATTTCAACTATTCGACTCTCTTCTCGTACTTATTTTTCGCTCCGGATTTCAGCATTAATTCCGAATAAAACTCCCAAGATCTTTATCCGCTCGTTCGGATTTCAGTATTGAATTCACGAGTATTTCCTTAATTTATTCGCTCCGGATTTCAGCATTGGAATTCGCGAATAAAACTCCCAAGATCTTTATTCGCTCGTTCGGGATTCAGTCTTGGAATTCACGAGTATTCCCTTCATTTATTCGCTCCAGATTTCAGCATTGGAATTCGCGATAAATCTCCTAGATCATTCACGTATATTCTCCCATTCTCACTTGATTGCTACCACAACCTACTCTCTCTCTCTCTCTCTCTCTCTCTCCTCTCTCTCTCTATATATATATATATATATATATATATATATATATTTTCCTTTAGAAAAATCATATCAGGATATTTCACAAAATATAAGGAATAATCCAGTAGTAAACCATAAAAGATCGTTTCTCAATAAAGATCGTTTTTAAAGTCTCTGAGCAATCATCCGCTTCCTATCGTAACTAAACAGCCTACTTGTAATTTATTAGTGTCGACTCCCAAATCCCGCTCTAATATTAAGCGTTGCCGGAATCGGCGGAACCGGTGGTTAAAGAAAGGGCTGGCTGAGTCGATAACCGAATCAATTTCTGGGAGTTCACGCAATAATTCGTCTAGTTTAAGTATAAACACGCCAAAAGACAACAGTACCCATTCACTTAACAAATCCCCCTCGATCCCTCCACCTAGTTACTCCCCTATTTCCTCCCCCAGTACACCTGTTCCCCTTTTTGCATCACCTCCCAGATCTTCCACCCCGATCTCTCCCGAGCCGTCCCCTCCCTCTTCTCCTCAACCTTTATTAGCACCCCGATCCCCGTCTCCCATACCTATAATTACTCTTGATTCCGATTCTTCGTCGGAGGCCTCAGAGTTCCTTGAGGATCCGGAGGATTTCGCAGGATATCCTCCTGACTTTGACGAGAGCTCCCATTCCCCCGACTTCCCCCCTGAGTTCCTGTCAGAATCTCCTCTCCCGAATCCTACCCCTGAACCTTCCTATCCCGATCAATTAGACTATTCTATAACCCAGTTCCCCCTCCTCGATATCCCTATCCCTGAAGGATCTTATTGCGTGGGTTCAGGTGACGTGGATCACGAAGAGTTCCTACATTACCTAACTACTGCCCCTCCCGACTCAATAATACCCTGGTACCTCCCCGGTTCACCTTTACCACTAGCCGTCCCCATCCAAGCTCTATTAAGAAAATTTCCACCATCCACTATCCAGTTCGATGACCTTTAACCTCTGTCCCTTCCCTGAAATACTCCTTTAGATTTGTTTAAATAGGAATTGTAAAATCCAGCCAGGATATAGCCTCCTCAACTCCTTTTATTTATTCCTGGCTGATGTCCTCCGTATCAATGTAACACCCGCGAATTTACTTAGTAACACATACACACACACACACACACACACACACACACACACACACACACACACACACTACTCGCGCATTAAAAATGTTCTTGTAAACCCGTTAATGATAATCTTGAATAAATTTAATTTATAATAAAGGGATAAATTTATTTCTATCTTCCCACACTCATCCCCTTTATTTCCAATATCGCACAAGGTCCCGTCCCGTGTAAAAGAGATTAGATTCTCTTACCGAAAAGGGACTAACGAGCGCATCGGCCTAAGACACTCACAGTGTTAAAGGGACCATTCTGGTCACTGACCTGTGTTAGGCCCCAGCACAGTTCGCTCGACCCGATCCATACACACGCCCGAAAGTGTGTCACCGGGTAAGTAGGTTACGTTCTTCCAGATGGCCCGACCTTTCAAGGGTCTGGACGTAACATTAGAATCGGTATTATTATTGTTTATATATATAATGTCAGAAAAATTTAATACAATAGTAGCTTAATACATGCACAAATTAATGTATCCAAAATATTTTTATAATTGTTGTTAATATGATATATTATACATACGCGAAATTATACATGAATGTTACATAAAATGTGCGAATACTTAAAAATTTTAGAGACGAATCGAATGGATACCCCTATATCAATAAGATTATTGATTAACAGAAAAAAAAATTATTAATTTAAACGTTAGGAAGAATAAGAATCTAGATAATTAATCTAGAATTATTTATATATTTAAAATTATTTCATTTTTTTAATTTTGAACACTATTCGAATTGAAACTCTTTAAATCTTGCTGTTATTGAGTTCGATTCGTCTCGCGCGCGCAGACGGTACCCCTGTTTAAATTATGTGTTCGCACATTTAACACAAACTCCAATAATGTGCATGTATTTTATTATTTAAAAATATAATCGTTCGTAATCACATTTTAATAATAAAGGTTATATCCATTTAATTTTCAATAAAGAAATATATTTTTTAGTAATGGAAGAACATGTTTCCTGACGTGAATATCAATTTTGTGAATCGAAGATAATGACGAGGGATAATTGTCGTTGATTTATTACTGAAATCATTACTATTGGGAATAATCCGGAAGATCCAAGATTCGTTCCCTTCTACGGTGAAATTCCCAACATTCAATGGATCACTTAACTTTTCTTCGCAGATTGATTTTGCGAAATTTGATGTAGAAACAAGATGTTATTCGTTCTGCATTTTTTAAGATCGCTTCTCTTTTCGGATATTACCGGTATGTCATTCGCGTATTTGCATTTGAATATTTTGAATATTATCGATTTATTTATTCGTCGTGTTTTATCGCGAATTTTAAATCGCAATTTATCTTATAAAAATTCGCAAACATTACAGACCTCAAATATTTGTGGAAACATATGCGATTTTCTATATTTACGTGACAATTATTGTATCGCGCTCGTGTCTGTTGAGCTTTGATTATTATATTATGAAAATTATAATATAAGCTTATTTATTTAAATTATTATATTTTTGCTTTGTCTTTCTTTGTCTCCATGTCTTTGAATATTGTCTTTATAATAAGTCCGTGCAAAATGCACCAGTAATGCAAATACTTTTTTCTACAATCGTATAAATGATCAATAATTTTATTAATGACTCTTTCAATCATGATTATTTATGTTACATATAATTACGTTACATTAAATTCTATTATTGCATATCTATTATTAATAATAATAATATCGTCGCGTAATTAATCATCGCTAATCATTCTGGTTTGGACTATAAAAATTTTTAGTAAATTTTATATTTATACGTATATTTTCGTGTAATAAATTATTCCATGTAATAAATAAAAATTATTTTGTATTAAGTTTCAAATTATATTTTACATTCATTTTTGTATTAAATCTTGTATTGAAAGAGAAAAAATAAAAATAAAATTAAAAAAAAAATTTTTCCTCCTCATATCTCCACCTTAACGGAGGCATTTTGCCGGGTGAGGAGGTTTGAGTACTCTAATGAACCTAAGAGCTATGCCGGCGGTAACGTACGCCGATATTCATGTAGAATACGCTCCTAAAGTTTAGTGCATTATTTCAGATACACCCTGTATATGTTATATTAATTATATTAATATTTTTGAATAAAATAAAAAAAAAGAGACAGTAATTGAGAAAATAGAAAAAAGGCAATTACAGCGATTTGAATTTCTCAAATCTTCTTTCCTCCTCCCCCCCCCCCTCTCTCTCTCCGAGTGATTTGAATATCTATACCCGAGAGAACAAATGTCCATAGAAAATATTTCGATAAACTTCATAGGAAGGAATAAGCATGACAAATGATGGTAATCCTTATGATTTTAACACAAAGGAATACAATAAACTATAATAATCCAAGAACTCGAAGGAAAGAATATATTGAATAGAAATGCATAGTGATTGGAAATGATTAGAAACTAAAAGAAAGTATACATACAACCTATTTATTAATAGTAATACTATTTTATAATTATATTAAATTTTATAATTTAGTACATTGTATTATATAAAGTATTAAGCATAAAAATATTATGCTGGTATAAAAATTATAATAAAAATATATAAATAATGTTGATTATATTAAAATGGAACATATGAATTCTTTATATTTTATAAAAAGGAAGAGACATTTGAAATATTTTACAACATCTATATTTTTCAAATCTTAATTATAAAAACTTTAGAAGAATCATTGATTAATTTGACAAATACTATACATGTATTAATAATTAAATTTTTAAATAATTAAAAAAATAATTAAAATAATTAAAATAATTAAAATAATAAATAATTAAAATAATTAAAAAAATGATTAATAAATATCAAAAATCAGTTTAAACCAATTAAGATTTATAGAAATACGGTTAAAAATGTATTTATTCCACAGGCATTTTGTGTTTTGTAAATAAAAATATATAAATATGGTAATAAATATAGAAAAATATTTATTTCATCTTTGAACATTACATTGGAAGATTACATTATCTTTTGCGATTGAATAATTTATTTACTATCAATTTATATATATAAGTGTCTTGTTATACGCTGGTGCTACCGGCATTTCGTGCACATAGTACGGAACGAAACTGTGCATATTATATATTACCCTCTGAGAACATTCATGGACATTGGCTTTGTAGTTCTTGATGTCCATGTTTTCATTGTCCATAGAGGAAGTATCGCTTTCAGGGATCACCTAAAAGCAGGCCATGACATCTCTCAGTCTTCTCTTTGATCATAATGCATACATACTTGTATTATTTTGACATGTGAGATTAGACCGAGAGGCATTTTTCTTAACCTAACCTTAACCCAGGCAGGCCACGTGGTCCACTTGACGTAACGTGACGTCACTTTCTCATGACAGTCGATTAATCAAATCGCTAAACGATTCTGTGCACGTTCAAGCGATTTGAAATATTTAAACTGGTGAGAATCAATCGATATATCTCTCGGAATATATTTAATATTAAAATTTGAATGTTCCCGAGCAAATTTTTATCCTTTGAAAAAATAGATATTTTTATTTTTCTCTTACTATTAATATTTAAAATATCTGGAATCCACTCTCTCCTTCTATCTTTTTCTTTCTCTTTATTTTTCCTTATCATCAGTTGCAAAAATATTAAAAATTATAAAAATATTAAAAATATTAAACATATTAAACATTCTTGTGAAGGATACAGATACTTGGTAAAGATGTAGGAAAATAATAGTTTGATATATATAATTGTATGAATATTTTTTTACGAGCATATATTTGTGATGGATATACTTTCTGAAATAATTCTTTGCCTCCTTACCACCAGCTGCGAAAATCAAACTATCAGTTTCCTTCATCTTTATCAAGTATCTGCCTCCCTCACAAAAATGTTTTATATTTTTATGCAACTGATGATAAAAGATGAAGAAAAAGAAAGAGAAAGAAAGGAAATTGAATTCCAGATATTTTAAATATTAATTAATATAATTTAAATAATATTTTATTTTGTGTAATTAAAATCAAGAAAATGTGTACATAATAAAGAAAATCAAAATATTTAGTTTTTATATACATTTTATATAAAAATTTATTAGAGATGCCATCGTATAATTTAATCGCCGATTTTATTAAAAAAAACAACGCGAGAATTATTCTTCTAATTATTAATTCTTACATAAGCAGACAAAAGACGTATAAAAAAAAGAACGCACACATATTTATATATGATTATACATAAATAAAATCTTATGCATCTGATTTGGATCGATATTATAATTTTAGATAATAATAAAATATTACAAATTTATTTTTTTATTGAATATAACGATTTCAGCTGTCATTAATCATATCCATTACTAAAGATTTAATATATAACATTTATCATCAATTTTGATTGTTGACAATATTATTCCACCGAAGTAACATTATTTCGATTTTCTCTATTCATGATCTTGAAAATTCTCTCGTACACAAGTTTTGGGGCATCCTTGGCCCATAGAAAATCTGTGTGACTGAATGTGGGCCACGGCACTTCATACATATCCACTACATTGGGCAATAAAGGAGCCAACCTCTTCACATCCTTGAGGAAACATTTTTATGAATTATCGTGCGCGATCTCCTTCAAACTATATTTATGATTATACAATTTAACATTTGATCTAAGCCGAGTCACTTTTTATTATATATTTATTATTATATATATTATATTATTATATTAAATTATTATATATTTATTATTTATTTATTATCTGAATATATTAATTTTTTTATTACCTACCTCTATGTCGGCCAGCAAGTCATTTTTGGAATAGAACAACGCGATTGGTACCGTGATACTTGTTAGATTGTAGTCCGGAGGTTCCTCCGAGTTATAGATTATTAAATTTGTTGCGCGATCGTAATCAAATTTGCAAAATTTGCCCGATTGGATTTCCTGAGCATAATGTCTTACCGTTTTAACGGAGGTACCGGCGGGAAAGTGACCCGATAACGGGCAATAAAGTCTAAATAGAACACAAATATACAAAATTTAATCTGAAACGTGATCGTGAAATAATAAAATGTGATAATCGAAAATTCGGTCAGAATCGTATTTCGATCGCGAATCGTTACTCACATAATTAAACTGCTCCTTATCATAACCACTGAACATAAATATGATATCGGCGCAGATTTCCTGTTCGGCAGAATTCTGGTCGCAACCGTATTTCAAAAGAAATTTCATAAAATCGTCGTGTGGCAAAAATTCGTCATGGGAGGAAAATAGCGTTATTATCTGCAATCAAAGATCTTTTATTCTTGATGTATATAATTTACTTGTAATTCTTTTCTGTTTCAAGTTTTAGAAATATTTTTCAAAATAAGAAAACGACATTTTAAGCACTTTTTTAAAAAATTGAGATAATTTATAAAAGCTTTGAGAGAATTGTTTCGATTTTAATATTAACTCCTAGGAAAACATTTCGTTCAAAGTAAAATCGAAAGTTAAATATATATATATATAGAACAAACAGGATGTAACGATTTTGTTGTAACATTAAGACAAATTACAGAAATTATAAAGATTTGTTATTTTTTGAGTAACGAGTTGCTCTTATAAAATAATTTGTCTAATTCTGTGGAGCATGTTGTATTGTTTCTACATTATTTTTTAACAACAATATAATAATATAATATAATATATTTATATACTATTATATTATTTAATAATAATATTATTTATTACAGTTATATTATTTAATAATAATATTATTTATTACAGTTTTGTAATTCTTAGTATCAATATATAACTTTAAAACTAGCTCTTTGAATTTAAATTCAATTAAAATAAGCTTCTGAAATTAATTAAAAACATTAATTTTGTATTATTTGTTTGGCTACCTGTAGTTTTTCAATTGATTGAACTGAAAAATCATTAGGATTTCAACGTTTATATTAAAGAAATATTTTAATATCTATCATCTAAAAATAATATTAAAAAAATAGGACTCTGATGTACGTATATAATTTATATGTGTGTGATTAAAAATGAGATTATTTTTATTTATTTATTATTTTACCTTCCAAGAAAGCGCAAGATTTCGTGCCGGATTTCGCACATGATTTACAAAGGCCACTGGACAGAGACTAATCATCATTTGCACCATTCGAGCGATTTCCGGACGCTCTGATGCCATTATATAAAAAGTAGTTGTGCCCATAGAATGACCGATATACGTATGTAATGGTTGCGAGCTTATATTTGTGATAAATGTAATTATTGCGGGTAAGTCGTAGATGCCCATTTCATTAAAGCTGTGATGGAACATTTGATATGAAGTGTATAAATATACAATAATGTGAGAAAATAAGTATATTTCTATTTTAAAAAGCTTTTAAAATATATTGTAAATTTCGTTCAGCGAAAAAACATAATTTTTTATAAAAAATGCAGTAAGATATCTACTTATGCGGAACACCTTGTATAAAGAATCTTATACAGAGTGTCTCATTTTAATGTTCCACCCCAAATAACTTTCTTATTTTTAATTTTAGAAAAAAATGTTTCAGACAAAAGTTGTATGGTTTTAAGGGGGACATAAGGTGATGCCATTAGTTTGATCTTGAAGAGTCACATGAAGGTTACGTGAAAGTTATTTTGAATTTCTTAAATGGAACATCCTATATATGTTTGCATATTCTTGTAGCTTATCTCGAGTGCTTCCCAAAACACTATAATAAATTATTTTTCCATGAAGTATTTTTCGAGTTATGAGGCTTGAAATCATTTCTTAATTTTACATAAACCATAAAATATCTTGTAAAATATTCATTTTTCGATTATCTTACCTTAATACTTTTATGTACAAAATAATGAGAGGAATCAATTGGTGTAGAGAAAACACATAGTTGTTTCTAAGAAAAAATATGTAATTTGCAATTAACAATTCCATATTTTTTCTTAAAAACAACTGTATGTTTTCTTTACACTAATTGATTCCTCTCATTATTTTGTACATAAAAGTATTAAGGTAAGATAAGTGAAAAATGAATATTTTACAAGATATTTTATGGTTTATGTAAAATTAAGAAATGATTTCAAGCCTCATAACTCTAAAAGTACTTAATGAAAAAATGTTTATTAATAGTGTTTTGGAAAGCTCTCGAGATAAGCTACAAAAATATGTAAAAATATATAGGATATTCCATTTAAGAAATTCAAAATGACCTTTACGTAACCTTTATGTGACTCTTCAAGGTCAAACTAATGACACCACCTTATGTCCCCCTTGAAACCATACAACTTTTGTCTGAAACATCTTTTTCTAAAATTAAAAATAAGAACGTTATTTGGGGTGGGACATTAAAATGGGACACACTGTATAGGAACACTTATATACTTATATAGAGGATATCTCGAGATAAATGATATTTTAAAATGACTGTTGCATATGATTAAATAAGCAGATATATGGATCAAGTCTCTTTCGATATCAAATTAAATCAAATATTGTGACATTGTTATGTCATTTCCCAAGCATCATTTTATCTGAATACCTGAAATCCCAAAATTTTGAGTCTGACGGCGATAGGGAAATATGCGCTCTAGAGTAGGTATTACCACGAAAATTTCCCAACCAAACATCATATCTTCGATCCGCCAATAGGTAAGCTAAAATGTAAAAAAAAAGATTTATTTGCTACATTTATTATATGATTTATTCTATAATCTTCTCATATAATATCCTCGTATATTACCCTTATTTTACAACATCTTTATGTGCTAGTATTTTTAAAAATAAATTAAGATCGCGAATTCATGTATAATTCAATCATTATTATGTAATACGTTAAATAAGCAATTCTAAATATATCACAAATATGTAAATTATAAAATATATGTATATAAGTATACGTGTTATCTGATGAATTTAAAAAATTTTCGAAAAGTAAAATGTGTTGGAAGTTGTATTACAATTAAAAATATATTATAAAATTTTTTTGACATTTCAATTCGAGAGTTTTTTTTAGATATTTTTCCGATAAAGTCATATCAATTCAGATACATATATATCCAGATGCAGCCTCGAAATATTTTTTAAAGATTGATTAAAAGATCGTACGGAGTGCTTTGTCTTTGCCAGAAACAATCCAGTCAGCGGAACTGCTAAAAAGACCGTGCATTATCAGCACAGGTAAAGAATCGTTACCACCTGGAATACGGTGTAATGTCAGTAAATAGCCATCCTCTGTCATTATAACGTGAGTCTCTGCACGATAACCCGCTCTCCTTATTATTTGCGGCTAAAAGAAAACTCAGTAAGATAGAATGTAAATACTTTAAAAACTGATTTAAAATTGATTGAAATACATTTTTACAAAAAGATACATACGCATATTTATTTTCTAAATAATGCGGAATTTTTGTATTAAACTTGAAGTGCCAATATCTATAATTTTATGAAAATAAATTATTTAAAATAATAAATAATTATGAAACAAAATCTAAAACAAAATCGAATAGACATTGATTATCAGAAATTGTAGAACAAATCTTTTTATATTACAAAGTATTAATATCAATTAAAATAATTTTAAAGACAAATTTTTTAGAGAATTATATATTGTTATCTGTTTTTTTCTTCGCAATTGAAATAATTGTAATAATTATTTCACAATTATAATATATGTAATTATGTATTTATTTTTAATTGCTTCAACATTAACGAGTGGCAGAGTAATGATAGTAGGTAATACATACAATATGTTAATATTCATTTCACATATTATTGTATTTTAAAGTAATAAGTGTATAATGGAATAATTAAATGATATTAACTGAATATTAAATTGAATAAAATAGCCTAAGAAATAAAAAAAAACAAGATATAAATATTAGGATCGATTTAGCACATTATTTTAAAAAATTTTTTAAGTATAATCGTAAGTGGTTTGAAAATTTCATGGTCAATGGTTAATAAAATAGTCATATAATATTTTTAGACTGTACTACGATAATTTTAAATATAAGACTATAAATACCGCACAGTAAAAAATTTTGTGTTAAAAAATTTAACATATTTCACATGTCCCAATTTATCCACTCTAATTTTAATGTTAATTTAACAGAAGGCAAGTACGTAAATAAATAACACAAGTAATATGTTTAAAAATTAACACAAAAGTGTAAGACTTAAACTTTATCTGGAAATAAAATTTATGTTAAATTAACATATTTATAATGTTAAATTTAATTAAAAGAAAATGTTGCTTTTACATTTTTTTAATAAATAACAGAAGAGAGATGTCGATTTAACATATAGAAACTGTTATAGAGAGAAAAATAACACATCTTATCTGTTCATTTTAACATATAACATATTTCATCAAAAACATTTGCATTTACATATTAATTGTGTTGTCTTAACTCTTAGAAACGGTGAATATTATCTCAACGCAGAAATGTCAAAATAACGCAATGATAATATGTTACATTAACATAGGAGTATGTTAAAAATTTAACACAAAAGTTTTTACACGAGAAAATTTTAACAGAAATACAAAATGTTTTTTACCGTGCGACTATGGAATTTATGTCTCTTTTTTTGTAGACACAATTAACAATGCTGTATAATTTTGTAAAATATATTGGTTTTGAATAAAAAGCATGAATTATGTACAAGAGTTTTCGAGCAATTTTTGACAACATTGAATAAATTTAGCAAATTGAAATAATGAAAACTTTAAATCTCGCTTTAATCTGAATTCTTTAAAGTGAATCAGAAAGATACACTTACCGTGTTGAGAACAGTATCAGGATTGAATTCGGTGTTATTTAATTGAATCCAGCTAGTTCGCATTATTCTCCTCCTCATCTCGCTTGGCTCGGATGTTACATTTCTTGGGACCGCATTAAGATATGTATAAAATGAGAACAGATACGCGATCGCAATCAATCTCATCACGATGACGAGCAATTCAATAAACAGCGCAAAACTTGGCTAGATCTTCAAAAAATCAAATCTAAAATAAATTTTAAAAAGGAACAAAAAATGCAAAAATGAGATGAATACAATTGTATGCAGTTGCTTTTTATATTGTTGCGCCCGCGGCGAGGACTTCGATTATTATCGAAGTCGCGCACGGAAAGATCGGCCGCTCGCGAGTTGCGCGAAATAAATAAACACTTTTAAAGAACTAAAAGCTTTAATTCCCAACGCAGGGCAACACAAACGTTAACTCAAAACGATTCAACGCACAAATTAGCGGCTCGGTACAAATTCGCGTCCGCGCAGCCAGACAGCTGGAACCGAACTCCGCTGACAGTCGTTGTTTGTAAATAATCTTCTTGCCGACGGGATCCAGACAACGGCAGGGCCGTGACGACTCGGGCGCGCGCGTAACAATATATTATTTAATGTTGCAGTGAATTGTATTTCGATTTTTGCCTTATCATGTGTCATTACGAAAAAAATACATATATATGTATGAGATACATAGATTATTAAAATTAGAATATAAAACAAAGTTGCATGTACAATTAATGCATGCTTCGATAATCTGATAGTAATAGTGATCCATGTTTCTCAATTATTGAATTAAATTCATTTTATTGTCTTTTACAAATTTGCCTCTAGTTTTAATCATTATTTTTTTTAGCATTTCACTTTTTATTTGTACCTTTAATTTGTGTTTATTTCACATTTATGTTACAGTGAATTTAAAAAATTTTTAACTAAACTAAAAACTAAAAGTAAAGAAATATTAATGTCCAATTAGATCTTATGCATATATTTATAATTATTTATTATTTTTTGATTTTCATATCGTTTTAATAAATTTTGTATGCAACTGCAATGCAACTTTAGCATTAATTAATTAAAAGGCCTTGTATGTATATTTATTCTCAAGAACTAAAGATAATTTGAATATGCGACTTTTTATTCATTAATGCCAGCTTTAAATTATTTGCATCTTTGAAGAGAATTTCTAAAAGTTAAAAACCGTATAATCATCTTAGAAAATTATATCAATATTATTTCTTTATCATAGTTTCAATAATGTTAAGAAAAGAACATATTTATACAATAATTTTATTTAGACACATTACAAATTGACAAATCAGATTTATGTTGAAAAGTATGTTATTAAAATATTTAACAATGTTACTGAAATCAAATATGTTTGAATATAATATATTTTTACTCTTTTTGTATCTAATTTCTTTAAAGTTACTTTATATAAACTTATTACTTGTTATACGTTACGTTATTTGTTTCATGAGAATAAGTGAGATTCGATATCTCTTGTTTAAAAAAAAATTATTTCATTTAACGCTTTTTTATTTATGTAAAAATTCGTTCTTTCATAAGTTTATTGAATCGCGATTAGTTTGATCGGTTTAAGATACATTTACGTGTTTATTATTATTTAATATTAAATACATTTTAATATTAAATGCATTAGTCAAAAAAAAATAGGGAACACTTTTTGAACTTTAAAAATTGAGCTATTTTTAAACTGCTGAAAAATTATTATAGATAAAAAGTTAAAAAAGCATTTTGAAGCTTGAGTATTAATTTTAACACGCGGTTGGTGGTATTCAAAAATTTTTTATCTTCCTTATTCTGTGTCTTTAAAAAAGAACACACTGTTTAGTTCCTTAAAATTATGTATTTTTGACAATCGCAGAACGATAAAAAATTTTTCTCTCAAAATTTTTTCATCAAAGCGAAAAAGTACTGGTTTATTTTCAAAATCATATTACTCGGTTAAAAAAAAATCGTAGAAAAATTTAAAAAAAAGCGTTTTATAGGCAAAATGTTGTAGTTTATGGAATTTTAGTTGAAAAGTTATCGAGAAGAATAAATCACAAAAGAAAAGAATATCAATTTTTCTCCAGTATCTTAAAAAATTTTAAAGAATAAATTTTTTTTAAACCTTGTAAAAAGAAATCTTTTTTCTTTACTTTTTTCTTTACTTATATTTTAATCTATTTTACTTTTTTCTTTACTTTTTTCTTTACTTATATTTTAATCTATAGTCTATTTTTATTAATATTTTATTTATTGGTACTTAATTTGTATTATCTCGCGTTAGGTTCGAAAAATAATTGTTGGATTCGTTATTTATTTGCACAAAAATATATGCAAAGTACTTTTTTAAATATCTTTCTTACTTTCATATAAATGAAATTTGTAATATCATTATTATGTTAAAAAATAACTATAACTATAATAGTATTATAAATTAATACTACTTACTAATTATACTATCAATCCTTATGTGTAACATCGAATAGAATATATCTGTAAATTTCTGGAAAATTGAAAAAAAATTATATTTCACATAAATAAAATATAAATAAAAAAATAAAAGATTTTTTGCAAAACTTTTCAAAAATTGATTAAGAAGATTATTATAGAAAATTAATATCCCTTACCTTGTTTCACATATATTATTAATTTCTACAGATTCAAAATAAACATCAGCAATATTAAAATTTTTTGGAAATTAATGAATAATTTTGATAAAATTCAGCGATTTTTTTAAAACTAAAAATCCTGTATAATTGTCATATATATGTTAACTTTTGCATGTGTTAAAAGTTAATTGGAATTGCAAATTAGAATACTAGAATCTTTTTTTATTTTAAATTTTAAATTCAAACAATTATTTCGCATTAATGAATTATTCTTTAACAATATTCGCGTATATTACGTTATCTTAAGCACTCTCCAAAAAAAGATGACATATCGTATCAGACACTTGTCATATGGTTTATAACATATGGTTTATATAAAGACTAGCCCAAGGCTGATGACTATTTTCATCTTTCGAATTGTTAATTGCAAATTACATATTTTTTCTTAGAAACAACTATGTGTTTTCTTTATACCAATTGATTCCTCTCATTATTTTGTACATAAAAGTATTAAAGTAAGATAATTGAAAAATGAATATTTTATAAGATTTTATGGTTTATGTAAAATTAAGAAATGATTTCAAGCCTCGTAACTCGAAAAGTACTTCATGGAAAAATAATTTATTATAGTGTTTTGGGAAGCTCTCGAGATAAGCTACAAGAATATGTAAAAATATATAGGGTGTTCTATTTAAGAAATTCAAATTGATCTTCACGTAACCTTCATGTGAGTTTTCAAGGTGAAACTAAGGCACTATCTTATGTCTCCCTAGAAATCAAACAACTTCTGTCTGAAACATCTTTTTCTAAAATTAAAAATAAGAAAGTTATTTGGGGTGGGGCATTAAAATGGAACACCATGTATATATGTATATATAATTTGAAATTAATAAAAATTAGTTGTTATTTTGTCTACATTAGAAACGTGAAAAATATGTTTCCTTAAATATGATTTTAAAAACGTTTTTATAGAAACGTTTCTTATTAATGTTTTATGAATAAAAAATATCGGATACGTTTAAGAAACGTATATAAAACGAACGTATGCTACCTCGGCCATCATATATATTTTTGTATATCTTAAAGTTATTTATTGACGACAGCCACGTGTCATAAAACATTGTGTTTTGTCATCTATTGACGTAGTTAAAGGTTAACTGTCCATTTGATATCAATGCTGTCTAGTTACAATGCAGCGGAAATTAAATCACTTCAAATCTTGCCTCGAAAATATTATAGTTCTAAGAAGTGATGTAAAAGAGATGATATATTGAATCCAATAAATATTATTGTTATATGTATTATCTAACTGATAGAAATAATTTATTGTTAATTAATGAAGAAAAAATTGTAGATGAATATGCATGTATTAATACTTGAATGTTTGTTTTCTTACGATACTTATTAGATATTCAACATGTGTACTTTTGTATTTTATATATTATATAAGATCTCCATACTTTTTAATATTAACCCTTTTGTAAATTCGTAAATGTTAATACACAATTGTAGTTTTCTTTTCAAGCTTTTTTATATTATATTTTGGAGTTTTTTTCTATTTCAAATTGTACATATAAATGTTTGTACATACATATATCATTGTTAGGGAGGGAATAAATTTTTATAAATTTCTAAAATATTTGAAAATACGTCTATTATTATGCATGAATTAAAAAAGAGACTATTATATAAATACTTATTTAATTATTCTTAGTTATTCTTGACATACAGAATTATTCTTAATTATTCTTAGCAGAATGTTTCTTTAAAAATATAAAAATAGTTTTGAAAATAAAAATGTTGTATATGATTTAATATATGAATGGACTGAATAAGTCACAAAAGGAGACCGGAGCATTAGAAAATCACTTTTTTGAAAAAAGTAATTGATTTATAACGGGGAAAGAGAGAATTTGATTGGATGCACTAATGCACACTGGTGCATATAAAAATTGTCGTATATAAAATTACAATAATATAATTAAAATAATAAAGTAATTAATATTATTAGTTTTTTATATTATTTATTATATTAAGTATATTATGTTAAGTTAATATTAAGTAAAATTATATTATATACGTTATTATAAGTTTATTCGATGCAAATAACGATAATAATAACTCGTATAATTATTTTATTTATTTTAGTTATTTATGTGCTATTGAAAATTTATATTTATTTATATTAGAATTACAAGATTTATATTAAAAACGCTATGTATTGATTCAAACTGCATTATATGAATGTCACAGAAAACGTATAAATCACTTGTTTAAATCGATTATTATATTTTCTTATAATCAGAATATCTTTTTATATGGTAAACGTTCCTCTTATATCAAAGAGAAGATACTCAGAAATAAATTAATATAAAAAGTTTATAATAAAATTCATTAAACAATTATATATACATATAATTATTTTTATTTATACATTGAATTATTTTTGTTTTATACATGTATAACTTTTTTGTCAAATAATTTTTAAAGATTTTAATTCTCTTTGAAATAACGCGAATATCTTCGTGGGAAAAAATAAATTACAAACGGAATGTAGTTAATAAGACGTCATGGCAACACATGATCAGATTGATCATTCGAAGTCAGTTAGTATTGTGATCGCTAGCCAAACACACTACCGCGTTACTTATCATTTGATTCAAACTGCATCATATGAATATCACAAAAAATTGTGTACGAATAGTGAATTTTAAAAGCATACGTAGTAACACAATTGTATATAGTAACACAATCGTACGAACGAATTGTTATAATTACATATTTAATAAAACCATAGATATAATAAATATTCAAGTGAATTCGACACGCTGCGTGTGCTTGAATATGGCTGAAAATGTTACAAGATCTATAATTCTATAACTTCTCTGATCGTGTGTAATTTGATTGTGGTTATTTTTTATCGACGTTATTCTACTATAATATTAATAAAAAAGACTGATAATAATTATA